GTCTGGCAGCAGCTGGGCTGGGAGCAGCTATCCTGGCAGCCGCTGGGCTGGCAGCAGCCGGTCTGGCAGCAGTTGGGGCGGCAGCAGCTGGCGCCACAGTTCCCACTGGTGGAGCAGCTGGGGAATCCGCAGAAGCTGGTGGAGCAGCAGGCCATGGTGTCAGGAGTCTGTCTGAGAGCTAAACTGCTAAGTGATTTTTCTGAGTTTTGGTTGTACCTACCTTCTAAACCCAGCCTTTTATATAGTCCCCTGAGCTGCATGTTTACCTAACATTTAGCATCTTTCCTTGATGCCAATTGAATTGTCAGTGTTTGATTGGCTCATGCTTGAGTTGTTTAGAAAATTATAAATAGCATTTCAATTGTCCGCTCTGGGCAATGTTCAATTAAGTCTCATTATGTGTCTTTTTTGCCCTCTGAACTAAGAGAAGGTGCTTCACGGAAGCCAATCCCAGCAGCACCTCTTTCTGTAATTCACATGGCAGACTAGACTTGGGGCACACACTGCCCTGGCTCACTTTGTCATACCTGTCCTTCTATAACCTTTAGACACAGTTTATCTGAACTGAAATTTTCTTCCTAAGTTGACACTCAATCCTGATTATGACTTCATCAACAAATTGTTCTGGTTCGAGAAGACTGATGATATTATTGCCATCAAAACATGAGCAATCTCTTAATTCATCAGCATCCAAACCAAGTTTGCTTTTCTGTGATCAGCTGCAAGTTACAGGGTCCTAGAACTGTATCTTTGTATTCTTGCCTTCAGTCACCAATGCGCATATTACCAACTGAAGCCTTTAATGACTTTTACCTGAAAATTGTTTACTGGTCGTTCAATTAAAAATATATGCTACATGCTAATGATAGATACATATTGTAACAAGTCAAACTTTACAGATTAAAGACCAATTAATATTATTTCCCCCACCCCACACAACACCTTTTCCAAAACTAATACATTAAGATAATCAATATTGGCACTTGGTTGTATATTATTCTTTAACACCTTTACCTCTGCTTCTGCAATACACGTATACATATACACACAAACATCTTCTATTTCAGTGAAGTTTGGGTCTAAAACACATTTAAATTAGAAAATTTTAAAAACTATCCATAGTGAAAATCTTTTGACCATTTATCTGACAGTTTATTTCTGAGTACTCTATTGCACTGGTCCATATGTATGTCTTTATGTAGTTCTACAATGTTTTAATCACTGCAGCTTTATAATAAATTTTAAAATCAGGAAGTTTGAGACTAACCTTATTCTTCTTTTTCAAGACTGTTTTTAGTATTTTGGATCCCTATGATTATATATGAATTTTTAGATGGAGTGTTCTATTTGTGCAAATCACCACTGAGATTTTTTAAAAATATATTTTTTAGTTATACATGGATATAATATCTTTATTTTGTTTATTTATTTTTATGTGGTGCTGAGACTGGAACCCAGTGCCTCACATATACAAGGTCAGTGCTCTGCCACTGAGACACAACTCCAGCCCACCACTGAGATTTTGATAGAGATTTCATTATGTCTGTAGATTTCGTTGATATTTTTATCTTAACAATATTGTCTTCCAATCAATGAACACGGGAAATCTCTCATTTGCATCTTTTGAAATTTATTTCAGTTGATATTTTGCAGTTTCTGTTGTACAATTATTTCCCCTGGATTAATTTATTCCTAAGTGTTTTTTTTTATGCTATTGTAAATGGCATTGCTTTCTTACTTTCCTTTTCAGATTGTTCATTGCTAATGTATAGAAATTCAAATGATATTTTGTGTGCTGATTTTGTATTTGTAACTTTGCTAAATTCACTTATTGGTTGTAGTGTGCGTGTATAAAATCTTTAGGGGTTTCTACATCAAGGATTATATGTCTCTGAACAGAGACAATTTGCTTTTTCCTTTTCAGTTGCTTTGGCTGGAACACCCTGAACTCTGATAAATCAAATGGATGAAAGTTGGCATTCTTATCTTGTTCCTAATCTTAGGGGAAAGAAGGGTTTTAGTCTTTCACTGTTGAGTATAAGGGAAGTATATTATTTTCATGTGTGGCACTTATTATATTGAGTAGTTTGCTTCTATTCTTAGTTTATTGATTGTTTTTTAAATTATGAAAGGGTTTTGAATTTTTTTCAAATGCTTCCTTTGGATCAGTTGAGATGATTGTGTATTCTCTCCTTAATTCTGTTAAAGCAGTGTGTTACATTGATTGATTTGTGTATGTTGAACCATTTTTGCATTCTAGAATAAAGTCCTATTTGATAGTGATTTTGCAATCCTTCTAATGTGCCATTGGAACATTGTTTGTTAATACTAAGTTAATGCTTTTTCTATGATTATTCATAAGGGATTTTTTTTTCTTTAGAGTGTACTTACTTGACTTTGTATACGTATAGTAAGGCTGATTTAACAGAATGACTTTGGAAGTGTTCTCTCTTCAATTTTTTGGAGGATTTTGAGGATTGGTGTTAATTTTTCTTTGGTAGAATTCAACAGTGAATAAATCTGGTTCTTGGATTTTCTTTCTTGGGAAGTTTTGATTACTGATTCAATCTCCTTGTTAGTTATAGGTCTGTCCAGATTTTCTCCTGTTTTTCATGGTAGGTTGTGTTTTTCTAAGAATTCATATATAGATTTGTGGACCTATGGATAAGATTTATCTATGTTATTCAAATTCTTAATATATCCTATATTTGTAACTCATTTTAATAGCTATACAATTTTCCAGAGGCTGATCATACCAGAATTTGTTGAATCATTCCCCAACCAATAAGACCTCAATCATTTTTAGTTGGTGAGTTTAAATTTTAAAATAATAATAGAATTTGAAGCAGAAAGAGACATTAAATGGGCCAAGCTTTAGGTGATTAGGGGACTGAGATCGTCACTGAGAAATCATTTAATTAAACTAAGTGAACTTTGCAAACTGGTTCTACAACTATGTGACTGTGTGAGCCCAGAAAAGTCACTTAATCTCTCTGAACAATGATTTACTCATCTATAAAATGAGATGATCTCTCAGACGCCTTCCAGGGCTAAAAATGTGTAATTGTTCTACTAAGTCATCCATTCCTTAAGGGCATGATCCCTAAGGCCATGTCAGATTCACCTTGGTTGTCTACCGGGTGCCTCTATACTACCTTGCTTGTAGATGCTCAATCATTGCTTGTGGAATGCAGACTGAAGGAATGATTAGCAGTTCACGGTCATGATGAAAAGCTGAAAAAAGTTGGCTACGATCTACATACTGTGGGGTCGGGCCCCAAATTCCTCAATAGGACACCCATAGCACAAGAGTTAACAACTAGAATCAACAAATGGGACTTACTCAAACTAAAAAGTTTTTTTCTCAGCAAAAGAAACAATAAGAGAGATAAACAGGGAGCCTACATCCTGGGAACAAATCTTTACTCCTCACACTTCAGATAGAGCCCTAATACCCAGAGTATACAAAGAACTCAAAAAATTAAACAATAAGAAAACAAATAACCCAATCAACAAATGGGCCAAGGACCTGAACAGACCCTTCTCAGAGGAGGACATACAATCAATCAACAAGTACATGAAAAAATGCTCACCATCGCTAGCAGTCAGAGAAATGCAAATCAAAACCACCCTAAGATACAATCTCACTCCAGTAAGATTGGCAGCCATTCTGAAGTCAAACAACAACAAGTGCTGGCGAGGATGTGGGGAAAAGGGTACACTTGTACATTGCTGGTGGGACTGCAAATTGGTGCGGCCAATTTGGAAAGCAGTATGGAGATTTCTTGGAAAGCTGGGAATGGAACCACCATTTGACCCAGCTATTGCCCTTCTCGGACTATTCCCTGAAGACCTTAAAAGAACATGCTACAGGGATACTGCCACATCGATGTTCATAGCAGCACAATTCACAATAGCAAGACTGTGGAACCAACTTAGATGCCTTTCAATAGACGAATGGATAAAAAAAAAAAGTGGCATTTATACACAATGGAGTATTACTCTGCATTAAAAAATGACAAAATCATAGAATTTGCAGGGAAATGGATGGCATTAGAGCAGATTATGCTAAGTGAAGCTAGCCAATCCCTAAAAAACAAATGCCAAATGTCTTCTTTGATATAAGGAGAGTAACTAAGAACAGAGCAGGGAGGAAGAGCATGAGAAGAAGATTAACATTAAACAGGGATGAGAGGTGGGAGGGAAAGGGAGAGAGAAGGGAAATTGCATGGAAATGAAAGGAGACCCTCAGGGTTACACAAAATTACATACAAGAGGAAGTGAGGGGAAAGGGAAAAATAATACAAGGGGGAGAAATGAATTACAATAGATGGGGTAGAGAGAGAAGAGAGGAGGGGAGGGGAGGGGAAGGGGGATAGTAGAGGATAGGAAAGGCAGCAGAATACAACAGACACTGGTATAGCAATATGTAAATCAGTGGATGTGTAACCGATGTGATTCTGCAATCTGTATGCGGGGTAAAAATGGGAGTTCATAACGCACTTGAATCAAAATGTGAAATATGATATATCAAGAACTATGTAATGTTTTGAACAACCAACAATAAAAATTAAAAAAAAAAAGAAAAGCTGAATTTGCATTTTACCAAAGTCACTTGTAATTTTATTTTATTTATTTTTTTCTCAGCAAGAACTATTTAGGTTGTAATATTGCAAAGTGGTCAGTAGTTAGAATCAAGGGGGAAAGAGGATAGAATGTGTCTCTGCTACTGTTTTGTCATTCAGAGGTTTTTCTTTGGATTGGATGATTCTTTGACTATTTGTTACCTTTATTTATGCTTTCTAATTTTCCATTTCTCGTTAACATTGAAATGAATGAAGTGTTGTGAATTTAACCAAAGTGCTATTCTTTATATTAAAAAAAAAATACTTTCAGTACCCTCTAGTTTAAGTCCAGGGAACTGTGAATTAATCCTAAACCTTGTCTAAAAAACCATCTAAACACATGAAGCATTTCCTGACACTTGGGTTAAAAAGTGTATAAATATGTTGTGTATGTGTATGATGTACAAATGTGTTTATATATAATAAATATGCATATATGTGCATATATACATAATATATATTTTCATATACATAATATATATATTTGGAGTAAAAAACTCCATCTCATTGGGACTGTATTTTTTTCAGTTTTCTCCTCCTTATATTTCTCTTGCTCTAACTTGTGAGATT